GTGGTAGGGGTAACATGGCGAGGACGAGGACCTGACATTTTCCGGCGACTGATCTGTCTTCTCGTTCCCTGGCAGTCCGGATCGCTGGTCACATGCAGTGCAGAGGCCCGTGTCCGGTCAAGCCGCGGCCGGTGCGGGGCAGTGCAGCGCTCTGCGTCGATCGGTCCGTGCAATCAGAATCCAAAACCGATCTCGATGGTGCACGTACTACTGCTCCACAAGTTGTACTGTTCCATGGCTGGCGCGGCGGCAGGGTTGGGCTGGCCTCGTCGCGTCTCCATCGGACGCCAGAAGCTGCTGCGCTAGCTGCCCGCCAAAAGCCGGAGAGAAGCGCCAAGCCAAAACCCAGGTGATCGATGGAACCAACGATTGCTGCTGCCTTCTGCCCTGGCTGCCGACTGCATCGCATCGCATCCACCGCGCACACATCACGCAGGACGTTGGATGGATATCATATTCGTACTACCATCGTACTAGTAGTACTAGTCCTACATCAATCCAGCCATCCGTCACGTGACAACGGGTCGCCGCCGGTGGTCCAGCCCAAGCGGGCGACCCGGTGATCCAGCCGAAACTTTGGCCGTCCGTGGCTGGCGCTGGCTGGACCGTCCGCAACCGGATCGCAGTCGCAGCACGTACCAGCCATGGACCGCAACGCACGGATTGGGGTCTCCGTCTCGGTATTCCTTTCGCTCGCCTGCCTGCCTTGCCGCCCTCCGCCACCACAGCCTGTGACCACCACCACCACCACTGCCATCCCTTTCCGTCGGTACGTGCTGTATGTACGTGCGACGCCGACGGTTGCCACAGGCGTCCCTGTCGCCCACCGTGGCTGGACTGGACCATCTCCGTCTCCGTCTCGCTGTACGAACGTATCCCTGCCGACACTGCCATTCGGTACGGCGTGATCCGTGCGTGCGCAATGGTGCACGTAATTATACAGTGTTACAAGGATCAAGGGACACGGCGTGAGCGTTGTAAAGGGGCGCAATCTCCGCCGGAATCATTTTTAGTGGCGCCTAATGATTGGCAACAGCTGGAGTAGCTCGTGCTCAGGCCGGAAACCGAACAAATGAACATTGGAGCCGCTTTTAACTGACAGCCAGTCTGGTCTTTGTGTTGGTAGCCGGAATAGTGGCCCAGCAGTAGTCAAAGAAAAGGATTCAGCGAGGGTGGAGCAGAGTACTCACTCCTACATAAAGGCAAAAGCGACGATCGGCTGCGATCGATTGGATTGGATTGCGCATGCAACTGCGGTTGCCCATAAAACAATGCCAGCCAGGTCGAGCAAGCGACCAACGCAACGCAGGCATGCAGCACAACATGCGAGCAATGGAGTGCAGTCCAGACACACCGATTGCTAATCAGTAATCACACACATGGTCACGTCCCTTTCCCATATGTCGGCGCGCCGCAACGTGTTGCTGCGTGACACTCCGGCCCGGCCGGGACTACTCCCAGGCACAAAGGCAGTGTAGCACGGCCAGTAGCCGTGTCATGACTCATGCGTACTAGACAGTGTGGTCTACGAGATCGTTCACGGGATGAACATGCCTGGCCGTTCCATCGTGTCACGGAACCGATCGACGACCTCGATCGATCGCCCGGACGGTTTGTACGACAGCAGCAAGCACGTCAGTCAATTTGGCGAATCCAAGGCAAAATCGCCGAGTTTGGACGGTGGATGGTAGCTTTGCCTTTGTACGTGCGCGTGCCCCAACAGGCACACACCTCTGCTACCGCCAAAGGAGTACTATGCCGTCACAGGCAGCGTGCACCGGCATGTTTGGTAGCGTGTGACATACCGGTACTAAATGGGCTATTTTTTTTTCTTTTAGAATATCAAACCCGTCCCCGGGAGGAGGGGGAGGGGGTTGTCATACCTGAATTTTATTAAATTAGAGGGAAAATCCACACAGCAAATCGTTCAAATTACATATTACTCCCTCCATATTTTAATGTATGACGTCGTTGACTTTTTAACCAACGTTTGACTACTCGTCTTTTTCAAAAATTTTATGCAAATATAAAAATACTTATGTCATGCTTAAAAAACATTTGATGATAAATCAAGTCATAATAAAATAAATTATAATTACATAATTTTTTTTGAATAAGACGAAAGATCAAACATTCGTCAAAAAGTCAACGGCGTCATACATTAAAATACGGAGGGGTACAAATTATGGAAGAGAGGAGGAAAGTAACTCCTTCCAAGAGAATAATTGGCCGATCGTCGGAGATGCTCGCCCAAAGTGTGCCGTCTTCAATATAGTCACAAGGCGAGGTAGCGACTTACGTGGTGTTTGGATCTAGGATTTAAATTTAGTCTATGTATTTAGACACTAATTTAGAATATTAAATATAGACTACTTACAAAACTAATTATATAAATGAAAGCTAATTTGCGAGACAAATTTTTTAAGTCTAATTAATCCATAATTAGAGAATGTTTACTGTAGCATCACATAGACTAATCATGGATTAATTAGGCTCAATATATTCGTCTTGCGAATTAGTTCAAGATTATAGATGGGTTTTATTAATAGTCACGTTTAATATTTATAATTAGTGTCCAACCATCCGATATGATAGAGGCTTAAAAGTTTTAGTCCCATCTAAACAGGATCTTATTCAGTACGTGCAAAACAACATTGTGGCGACGATTCCATAAACCCCAGCAACAAATTATACTCTAAAACATTTGGTAGTGCATGCGCGGCATCCTCACCTGGCAAGAGGAGAGAGAGGAGGGGGGGGGGGGGGCGCAAAATCGCCAGCTCCTCCATGGGCGACATTGTTATCTACTACTCCCTTCCGTATTTAAATGTATGATGCCGTTGACTTTTTAATCAATGTTTGACCATTCGTCTTATTCAAATTTTTTTTATAAATATAAAAATATTTATATCATGCTTAAAGAACATTTGATGATAAATCAAGTCACGGTAAAATAAATGATAATAACATAATTTTTTTAAATAAGACGAATGGTCAAACGTTGATTAAAAAGTCAACGGTGTCATACATTAAAATACGGAGGGAGTATATACCAACAGATTACCGAAATGCATTTGTGAAAGGCATGGATGCACATATGCATGGCAGTTTCCTCCACCTTTTCACTTAGTTTGTACACCGAGACGAGCCACTGAACTCTTGCCAAATCCATCTCGCCGAGGATGATTCAGTAGAGGCAAGGGAAGAGTGGAAAAAGGGGGGGGGGGGGAATTTAACTATTTACCACTTTTAGGTTTGGCAATTATCCAAATGTTCCTTTTAGGTTTGCGCTTAATAATTTGACATTGGAGAGAGATGATTTCTTAACTATTTGCCACTTTTACTTATGTGGCGTGCCTTCGTGGTATGCCCGCATGGGAAGCAACGTAGATCCCACCTGACAGCCCCTCCCCTCTGCTTTTCCCTCTCCGGCCTCCAACGAGGTGACTCACGCCTGTGGAGTGGGATGAGCTAGGGCGGGTCGAGGCGGCCGTATACGTGTGGCTGGTAGCTGGGCACATCGGGGCTGTTAACAGCGGCCGGGTCAACAACGACGGGGCGGGGCGGGGGCGGCCGCCGGGGAGGACGAGGCGCTTGGACAGCTTGAGGTCGTCCTCCACCGCCCTTGCGAAGTCCTCATCCATCGCCGCCGCCATCCTTCGTCTGGCTGGAGGAGGAGAGGAGTTGGAGGAGGGGAGGACGAGGTGTCTCCGTCAAGCCTCCTCCTCCTCAAGACCCGCGCCATCGACGCCCGCCGACCTCGCGCCGGCCGCTGGCCCTACGCCCGTTGGCTTCGCGGCCGCCGGTTCACCTCGTCGAAGGCTAGAGAGGGAGAAGAAGAAAAGGGGAGGGCTAACGGGTGGGGTCCACGTTGCTTTCCACGCGGACATGCCACGATGGCAAGCCACGTGAACAAAAGTGGCAAATAGTCAAGAAATCACCTCTCTGCAGTGGTAAAATATTAAGCGTGAATCTAAAAGAGGCATTTGGATAATTACCAAACTTAAAATTGGCAAATACCGGGAAAAAGTGGTTGGGGGCAATACGAGGAGAAACTTGAATGTGAGTTAGATTAGGTAGCTAATACTTTAGATTACCTACACTGCGAAAATAAATTAAAATGGTTGCGTCCCTTATATAATATGGGGACGAGGTAGTAAATCCGTAATATATGAGCTTGGCTACTACTTTCAACGGCAAGTAACCATAGCGGCACACCATCAATAGCATATTAGGTAAGATGATAACCAACCAACAACCATATGTTACGATTTAATCCCTCCATCCATAAAAGTTTTGTCACCAAAACTAAAGAAAAATTAAATCATTTTGGATATTATAAAATCAAAAGTGAATTTAAATATGCAGCCAATAAGTATTTAGATTACTCCTTGAGTTCTAATTAAATATTTAATTTATCTAATTAAAATCAAAAAGTGAATGCAAATATGCAATTAATAAGTATTTAGATGACTCCTCTCATTGGAGCTCATTGTGACTCCCTTTGTTTTATATTATAAAATTATTTTAACATTTTTTTAATCGAACTTTTTAAAGTTTGATCATGTACGTAGAACAACATTTCCAAGACAGAATACATATATTATCAAAATATATTTAATATTATATTTAATTAAACTAATAGTATTTTGTTGCTGATGTTGCTAATTATTTTTATAGATTTAGTTTATCTAGGAAAAAAATGATCAAAACGACTAGTTTAAAAAGAGCAATATCTATTCCACATTCCAAAATATATTTAATATTATATTTAATTAAACTAATAGTATTTTGTTGCTGATGTTGCTGATTATTTTTATAGATTTAGTTTATCTAGGAAAAAAATAATCAAAACGACTAGTTTAAAAAGAGCAATATCTATTCCACATTCCAATGGCCCCAAACTCTTAAAATATCGGCCATCCTCTTTATTAAAAGAGACTACTCGATTGTTGGAATTGAATAAGCCTCCCATTCCCATCGTATGGGATGGACGAAAATTGAACTGATAAATAAATCTTTCAATACCGACAAATAACAAAGTTGTCACGAGCCCGATCCATTTCATAACTGTCAACCGCAAAATGCTGGGAATACTGCATTCCACCTTTCTACAGCCTGGACAGAGAATTCCGAATGTTGATAGCAAGCCCCACTTTGAATGATCACTGATCAGGGATGACATGCTGATCAAGGAAGGTATACCACGTCAAGTGTGATCGAAAGCAAGCAGGCAAAGAATGCAAAGAAGGGGCATTTGGAATTGCAGCAATTTGCAATCTGGGAATTGAGATGCCACCACATCATCAGCTACTCCAGCTAGCTAACCTCGTCAACACATTGTTGGCTACGCACTCGACATTGATTCCTGTACCACGCAACAATTACTACCAAGTAATCTAGGGGAAAAAACCAAAGATGAATCCGATCGATCACTTGGCGGCGTAATTGGGTATCTCGTAGATTTGGTGGATCCTCCAAATGTCGTCGTCGAAGGCCATCTCGGCGTCGCCGCGGGCGCCGAGGCAGCGGAAGTCCTCCTCCACGAAGGGGAACCACCCCAGCAGCTTCTCCTCCTCCACCCCGAACGTCCACCACGACAACCCGTTGCTGAGCCCGCCGTCGAGGTCCCACTCGACGGTGGTCGCCGCCCCGGCCTCGTATCCCGCGCCGCCGCCGCCGCCGCCACACACGTCGGGCACGGTGGGCGCCATGTCCGCTCCGGAGGAGCAGGAGGAGGACGCCGCGGATGTCACTGCCGCCCCCGCCCCCACAGACGACGACGACGACTCGCGCGCCGCCGCCGCCGCCGCCGCCTTCTTGGCTGCCGCCGACGCCGCCTTGGGCTGCCTCGGCTGCTTCGCCCTCCGCTGCGGCTTCGGGTTGGCGTTCCCGGCCGCGCCGCCGCCGTCCTGCCCCTCCTGGAGCTTCGGCTGCTGCGCTCTCGTCCGCTTCATGCCTCCTCTTCAGCGCGCGGCGCGGCGCGGCGAGGCGAGGTGAGGAGAAGAGGGGAGTGACGGGGTGTGAGTCAGTGAGAGTGGGAGTGTTTTGGCAGCGAGGCGGCCGCCTCTTCGCGCTTTTGTAGTGTACTCCAGCATCGAGTGGCTCGGCTGGTTTGGCGCGCCGCCGTCGCCGCGCGCGCGCGCAGCCGGTATGTGCGGACCAGGTCGCGTCGCCTCCTCTGTCCTGGCGTGCGGTGTATCGGGCCAGGTCCGAGTCGTGACGGGAGCCCGTGCGGCGAGGCAACTTGCAACCGGTAAACGCACCAATCACACAACGTTGTAGGTAACCGCTTTTTTTTTCCCTTCAGATAGTGAAAATTAACGAGTTAATTAATTGATGAAGCGCACGAGGTTGTACTGTAGACAGGGAAACGAGCAGCAGTAGTAATCCTCCTGATATTTTGTTGGGTGCAGTCGTGCTGTGCAGCGTACCGGGCCAGGGTGTGTGGCTTTGGCAGTTTTTTTTTTCCACGATATGTGCGCGTAGCAACGGCCAGTGATGGAGGGACGGCTCACGTGGAAACCCCCGGAAACTTGGGGAGGTTGGGCGTCGACGAGGGCGTGCGCCTGTCTGTCTGCGTACGCAAAATCGCATGCCGACATCGTGAACCACTCCTTTGTACAACTATTAGCTTCCAAAGCTCTCCAATCTCTACTTTTCATGGTATTACTAGTGTTTTTTAGTCTCGTGTTTTTTTACTACTACTACAGACGGAGTATGCGTATACTTGACGTGCATCGATCGTGTGGTTGACAGATATTTTACGTGTATACTAGTGGTGATAGCGGCATTGTATATTTGTATCGTGGCACAAGGGACGGGAGGAGAAAGTGTGTGTTAGCCGTATCTCAGTCGAGAAAGCGATGGATTAAGGGTCATTTAAGGGCCGACAGGGGCGTGGCCATATGTCGGCAAAGAGGCGTGAGTAATGGCTCGCAGATCCACGGGACCCAACACCTTGCCAACTTGACGCCGCTCGAGTCGTAATAATACGAGTATTTTTATGCAGGAACATGCATAATACTCCTACAATGCGTTGCACGGACGGGACGGCACGCCACTCTGCCAGAACAACCAGATTTGACGAGAGGAGGCTCGTGCCTTGCCTCGTGGTCGGCCGGGTCCTGCGCCGAGAGGAGGAGGCGCTGCACGTCTGCACCTGCCCGTGTTCGCTCGTCTCACCGCCCACGTTTGGCCGTCTGACGTGACGGGATATACTCCTACAGTCCTACTCCACAACGTGATGGAACAAGATACTAGTACTCGGGCTAATACTGGAGTACTAGTAGTGTATAGTACAGTACTATTTGATACTGTACGTACGTACGAGTATCTCAAAGTACCCTCACAAGTCTCAAATCTCACTTATGGAGCCACCTAGGAGTAGTTAGCAGCCTGGCAGGCAATACTAGTATCTGACTGGGCCGTGTCTGGTTTGGGACGAGACGACCACGCAGATGCTGATCTGCAGCAATTTTGACAAACGGGCCGGATTTATATGGCCGGCACATAGGCCTTAATCTGAATGGGCCGGCCCACCATTACTCATTGGGTTTTGTTTGACCTTACCGGGCTGTGCCCTCAACTGCAATTCTGCAAAGAAGACGACAATCCAAAGACGCATGAAGGCGGCATCAGAACGCCGATACAGGTGGCTTCCAAAAAAAAAAAAGAAAAAAAAAAGAACGCCGATACAGGTGATGCATGTCTATCGTCAGCTCGTGCAGTAAGACGTTAAGTCTCACAGCGAGTGTAACCTTCGTGGTACTGGTTGCTATAAGTTTAGAATCATAAACATGCAAATTGCTGAACAACGAGATCTCAAAATCTTGGATAGATTTGAGTTGGTGGCCGAAGAGTTTAGGTTTGGACAGTCTCGGCTATAACTTTCTTATTAGTCTAGCGGCAACCGGTCACGCTCAGTAGAGATCGATTCGGTGTTAATCTTCTCCTTGATTATACGTAGGCGTTATCGGTGCATAGTGTTAATCTTCTTTTCTAGCTATTGTCTTACATGACAATAGTTTTATAATTTTTTCTACTCTATTTAATGAATCATCGCTATGTTTGATTATGACCGTTAAAAAAGGAGATGCCAATGACACTACTGTGACAGCATCCCAGCTACAGCACTCCGGTGGATCTTAAGATATACTCCCTCCTTCCAAAAACCTAAGAACTATTTCATTCTTTGGTTTCTCCAAAAATCTAAGTCCTATTTATAGTCACTATGTGCTAAATTAAATGTTGATCGAAAACCAAGAAGCCACTCTAGTGCTTATTGGTTGTATGTTCATTGGTTTTGCCACATGGTGAGTGAGTTAATTACTTCTTGGTATTGATGCAGAAAGAAATAGGTCTTGGATTTTTGGAAGGTGGGAGTAGTAGTATACTCCCTCCGTACCTATAAAGGAAGTCGTTTTGGACAGCGACACGGTCTCCAAAACACAACTTTGACTTCTTGTTTTTATAAAAATATTTATTGAAAAGTGATGTATGTATACTTTTATGAAAATATTTTTTAAGACAAATCTATTCATATAATTTTTACATTTTCAAACTTAACAACTTGAGAGTTATTCATGATTTATATTCCCCATGTTTGACTTAAGCATTGTCCTAAATGATTTCCTTTACGAGTATATAGGGAGTATATGTTAGTGGTCACGCTTAGCTTTTCTTCCTGTCGCCAAAAGCTAACACGGTCAAATCGATTCACACACTGTAGCAGATAGTATAGTAAAAATGCATGCTACATGATTCATGTAAAACACACAGAAACGCAAAAGGGAAAAAAGGAAGTTCGGATCAGCACTGCTACTGCATGCTGGGGGATGGCCACCACGGGCTGCACGTTTCGACCGGCCGGCGTCTTGCGTCCCTTTCGCTTCATGTGATTTGGTGCCCGAAAACATTCGACTTGTCGTACACCTTTGTTCTCTCTCTCTCACCCTCCTCCATCTCTCTCAAATATTCGCACACGTCCAGCTTTTCCTCAAGATATGCTGCAAACGAAGGCTACATTGGACGATTGGAAGAAGAAAGTTCCACTGATATTAGTAAGGGTGAAAATGATCCGAAACGGTCAAAAACAGTAGCATATCTACGAAATCGATTCTCGGTTGATTGAGAATCAATCACATTTATCAATTTAATTATTTAGTGAGGATTGTAACATGATTAGGTTTCTTGTGGTGGAAATAGCCCACTTGAGTTCAAATCTTAGATTTAACACAGATGGCGCCCATGGTGATTTCATTAATCTTAAGATATCTTGACTTAGTCTTCTGGAGGAGTTACCATTTTTACGATATGTCGACCTAGTCTTCCGGAGGAGTTACCATTTTTACATGATGACTTTGTAAATCTCAAGATATGTCGATCTATTCTTTCGAAGGCGCTACGTAAACTATGCCTGGCATTCCATAACCCCTTTTCATGCTGATGTGGCATTGCCGGTGATGGAACAACATGCTGCGTGTTTAGTGTTTTTCTTCGTGATTAAAATTGAGACGGGGTGGGTGTGCTGGGGTAGGGAGGGTTGGTCTACCCGCTCCGTGAAGCTACCGCACAACGCTCTCTCTCTGAAGACGCGTGCATCTCTGAATATCTGAATTGGCAGTTTGATCACATCTACTTCGACGCTGCAAATTACCAAACAGACGTGTAGCAAGATAGTTGGGCTGCGTTTCCACAATTGTTTTGTCGATTTATCCAGAAAGAAGAGAGGTCGTTCTTTGCTTTATATTAAAAGGAAAAGAAATGAAAAGAAAAGGCGTTGTTGTTACTGACGAACCACTTCTTCAGATGATGCAACTTCCTAACTTAGTGGTTCGCGCTGGCATAAAATAAAAGCAGTGATGTGCAGACATACAGTAGGCAGATCCCTGCATCTCAGTCACGGTTCAGAAAACAAGATCGACGAGGGCACGGAATATGTTACAAGTTACAAGTGACCCATATGTTCTTGGGATGAATAAACAGAACAAACAAGCAGGGCATGCTCACTAAGAAGTCGTCACTCACAAGTCCTCACAAGGAAGAAAAACCAGTGATGTCATACTCCAACAGCGTGAATTTGCATGAAATTCATGGTGCCTTCTTCCATTTGTGAATGTCTCTGTCGCGTTGAGAAATGATCAACACGTATGCTGCTGCGGACCATGAACAAAAGAGTGCCACAAAAAGCAAAAGCCAGAGTGCTAAATAAAGGAAAGATCCAAAGCCACTTCCCACAGCTTTACTAGGAACAAAGGCCTCCCAACTCATCTGTACCTGCGGCATCTTTTGATGCATCCATTTCGATGGAATTCCATCTCTTTCCCCAAATTCACCATGCCTTGATCCGACTAGAAGATTTGAACTGGATCATCCAATCACTGGTGCAAACCGTTCACACATTGCCCCGGATACATCTTTGATGTAGAGGCCGGATTGGATTCCATTATCGAAGAAAAAAAAAGAAGTTGCGCCTGAAGCAGCGACATAAAGCTATTAGCCCATCTTGTACCATGATTCTTGCAAAGAAGTGTTCTAGAATGGCTGTACCTAACCTAAGTAGGAGTAGTCAGTATTCAGAGGAAGATTAGATGGCCAATCTATCCTTCTCTTCCTCTCTATTGCCTGCAATTTCACATGAGATTGCAGGAAGTTCTTCAGCCGCTGCACTTTATGGTGGCAGTTTCAAAAGCTGATTGTATAAAAGTGAGACAAAGTTGCTCAACTCAAGGCCTAGTTTCTGGAACTAGACTTTGAGCTTTCTATCCATATAATAGCTCAGATTCTTATTGGATGGATGGTAGCAAAAATTTCCTGCGCACTAACCGGGACAGCTTCAGGAAGTTGGCACTGCGTTTGACACGGCCACTACTGGAAGTTTCATTTCGCATCAAAGACAAAAGAAAACATGTAAAAGCCAACGAAAGAATTTTAAAAGACTAGAGGTGAGGTCCCAACTAAGTCGTCCTAAATGTAGACTTGAGGCTGCTAGTACTATCCAAGTTGCAGTAATGAATCAACTAATTAAGCTTTTTGGCACTAGGAAATTCTGGGAAATGGTCGGATGATGGATCAACAACAATGGGAGACAGGTGATCATTTCACAG